TGAGTTTAGTGATTGATGATTTGAAGATGTTTAAGGAACATATATATATATGTTATTTTCTTAGTTGTAATTTATGAAGAAATTAAATATAGATTATGACTATAAATTCTGACTAGAAAATTGTGAATTTGATAAGGATTGTAGAGGTGATAAAAAAAATAGTGATATATAGTGATCCAAATTAGTATTTGATTGAGTGTCTTGTAAAATATTTATTATTGTAGTAATGGTGAAGATAATAAGTAAGATTGATAAGGAACTATAAATAAAGATATGATAAAATGAAATAAAATAAAAAGTTGGCCTGATTCTTGAGGTAGGAAGAAACATTGTATCATGGATAGTGATATGTGATTTATATATTATGTATATATAAACAAGTTCCTTCACATAAATTTTGTCGCTCAATTTATTTTTATTCACTTGAAATAAAAAATAATAATTTAATAATTTTGTAGTTTTACTTTTATTTTTTTGCGCAAGCTGTATTTTATTTCCTTTCAAATTTTATATCTTTTTCTATTATAATGTTTATGTCAACTCGGTTTCCAAGTGTGCACAGTGATATGGTGCACCCGAGTGGTTTGAAAGGAAATTTTCTCATGTCCTCGCTCAATATTAATGGTTTAATGAGTAAATTAACGATTTTTCTAAGACTCATGGCCGACGAAAAAATGGATGTGATCGCGATACAGGAGACCCACTCAAAAGATAATATGGCTACCTTTAATAACTTTGTAATGTATAGTACTGGCACCACTTCCAATAATTGGTCGGGGGTTGCTTTCTTTATCAGCAAAAGATTATGCAAATGCGTGGATAAATTTGTGCCCATTTCGGAGAGATGCGGTTTGCTATACCTGAATACCTGCTTCAGACAAACAATCTTAATAAATGTTTATGTCCCGCCTAGAAGAAACGAACGGCTCCCATTCCTTGATGACCTCGAAAACATTTGTTAACTCTCTTCCTAGGAGTCGTAATTTGATAATCCTAGGGGATTTGAATATTAGGATCGGAAAAGATGACTCCTTTATTAGAGATGGGGTAATTGGGAATACAGCTCTCTCTCAATTAAACAGTGATGACAGTAGGAAGATATTGGAGATGTGCAGGAGTATAAACCTCAAGGTTGAAAATACTTTCTTTTCCCACAACGAATCTAACACCCTAACCTTCAGAAAAAATAATACCAAATCTCAGATCGATTTTATCATCTCGAACATTCATAGCTGGTTCATTGATGTAAAAGCAATGCCTAATATTAATATTTCTGATCATAACTTAATCAGAGCTAGTATTACTGTAAGAAATTTATGGGGAAACTCTCGGCGTCCTTCTCTCCAACCCCACCAGCCTAGATACCTTTCCTGGAAAAGGAATGCAACACACCTGCAACGTCCTGCAGTCAAGCTACAGCTGGATCTAATCTTAAATGATAGGGAGGCAACTTTCTTATCCTCATCGGAGTCTCAGTCTGTTGAAGAATGTTGGGCGTTTTTCAAAAACAACCTGTTTGATGCCTGCAACCATCTCCCTAACATCAAAAAATTCTCCACCAAAACAGGAATGGCTATCCGATGACACCATTCGTATGATAGCTCAACTCAAGCTACAAGGAGAGCGTGATGGTCACTTATGGACCTCAATTCATAGACTCCTAAGGAGAGATAGAAGGATTTTTATTGCTAAAAAAGCCTTTGAGATAGACAGGGATATGAGGGAGAATAGAACTTTCGACGCCTACAAGAAGCTAAATTACTTTTGTAAAGCCAAAGTGTTCAAGACACTTCCAACTATAAGGCTAGATAATAATAAGTTAATTACTGACCCCGATGAACAAATGGCGTTATGGCTGGATCACTATATGGGAGTCTTTGATTCTAGGAAGCCTACCTTAATCCCATCCACTAGTCAAAGTGTTGGACAATTGGACGCAAACTTTTCATTGGCTGAAATTGTGGCCGCTATTAAGAAGCTTAGGAATAATAAATCTCCGGGTACTGAAAACATTACAGGAGAACATCTGAAAGCAGCTCCCTTAGCGATCTCTTGGTTCTTACCAGGGTTTAACATTTGCTCAAAATTCAAAAATCTTCACAGATCGTTGCTCTTTTGAAGATCAAAAAATGCGAAGATTTTTTCGCTAAAAAAAATTTTGAGCTTGCTCAAAGAAGATTTTTGAGCAAAATAAAAAATATTTTTTGTAAAAAAATCTTCTATAATTTTGAGAAAATATTTTGAGAATTTTATAATAAAATAAAATCTTTTGTAAGGAAATCTTTATTAAAATATTTTTGAAATTTTGATCTTAAAATTTTTTGGTAAATTCTTTAAAAATAAAATTTTTTATATATATTTTTTTTTATTTTATTATGTTAATGAAAATATTTTTTTTGAATAGGTTGTAAATGTGAGAATTGGTCATAATACCGACTGCATTTTTTTTAATATTTGGAATAAGTAATAATGATTATTTTAAAAATGTAATGTCATAATTTTAATGTTTTATATTTAATGTAAACTATAAAAGTGACAATTGTCATAATACTCATCTCAGAACCTTTAAAAATAATTATAATTAAAAAAGGCTAGTTGAGCATGTTTTGAGATGGTTTCAGTGATTGTAAAGCATATAAAGGTGACAATTGTCATAATACTTATTTCACATATGTTTTAATTGGAAATAGAGAAAAATGATTATTTCAAACATGAATTAATATAATGTGTAAACTATAAAAGTGACAATTGTCATAATATTCATAACAGAACCTATAAAAATAATTTTATTTTTAGGTATTAAATAGGCGAGAAAAAATTTTTTGAGCATGTTTCGAGATGGTTTTAATGATTGTAAAAATTGTCACAATCGTTATTTTTAAACTTTTTTAAAGCAAGTAGATAAAAATTTATTAAATATAAAATTAAATGTGGATGTACCATAGAGCAGTGACAATTGTCATAATCGTTATTTTTGAACTTTTTTGAATTTTTTTGAAGCAACAGAGTAAAATAATAAATTGTAAACATGTTAAATTGAAATTTAAATGTGGATGTACCATAGAAAAGTGACAATTGTCATAATCGTTATTTATAATCTTTTTTGAATTTTTTTGAAGCAAAAGGGTAAAATTATATATTGTAAACATGTTAAATAAAAATTTCAGTGAAGATGTACCATAGAAATGTGACAATTATCATAATTGTTATCTTTGAACTTTTTTGAATTTTTTTAAAGCAAATAGGTAAAAATATATATTGTAAACCTGTTAAATTAAAATTTCAGTGAATATGTACCATAGAAAAGTGACAATTGTCATAATCGTTATTTTTAATCTTTTTTGATTTTTTTTGAAGAAATTATATATTGTAAACTTATTAAATTAAAATTTCACTGAAGATCTACCATAGAAAAGTAAAATTGTCTTAATCGTCATTTTTAATCTTTTTTAAATTTTTTTGAACTTACAGGGTAAAATAATAAATTGTAAACTTGTTAAATTTAAATGTGGATGTACCATAGATAAGTGACAATTGTCATAATGGCCATTTTTAATCTTTTTGGAATTTTTTTGAAGCAAAAGGGTAAAATAATAAATTATAAACATGATAAATTAAAATTTAAATGAGGATGTACCATAGAAATGTGACAATTGTCATAAACGTTTATTTTAATCTTTTTTGAATTTTTTTTAAGCAAAAGGGTAAAATTATATATTGTAAACATGTTAAATTAAAATTTCAGTGGAGATCTACCATAGAAAAGTGACAATTGTCATAATCGTTATTTTTAATCTTTTTTAAATTATTTTGAAGCAAAAATATAAAATTATATATTGTAAACATGTTAAATTAAAATTTAAATGAGGATGTACCATAGAAAAATGACAATTGTCATAATCATTATGATCATTTTAGAATTTATTTGCTGAAACGAGCAGATTTTTAGCTGAAGCCCGTCCATGGGCGGCCTAGCTTAATAATTTTAAAAAGTGCGAGCGAATCGGTTACAAAATTTTAACAATTAGCGGGCTAAAAAATTTTAACTTTGGTTTATTATTTAAAATCTATTAGGTAAACATTAAAAAGAATCTATGAATATAATTCCCAGGAAATAAAATTCCCATTTTTTAAGATATTAAAAATTACAAAATTAGTAAAATAGTCACTATCTCCAGGTCTCTTAAATCTTTCTACATCTACATGTTGGTACCAATTAACATTATATTGTTTATTATATATAATCTTTTAGATTTTTCCTCACAGGAAGAACCATCTTATTCTCAAAATATTTCAAATTCAGTTTTATTTGGTATAACAAATAATTCTTAACCCAATCAAATAAATTTTTCTACAATAAACTCTGATACCTATCATAAACCACAAAAGAAATATAGCAATTGGAGTCAGGAAAAAATTGCAATAGCCATAAACAGAATAAGAGGCCATCCGTCAAACTCGCTCCTTCAAGGGGGAAAACGTATCGGTTTTGGGTACCATTACATTACAGCAATGAAAATTAAAAAAAAATTTGAATACAATTTTATAAAAAAAAAATTATATAATACTTCAATCTGGTGCCGCCTCGCTGGCACCAGCAAATTTCATTTTTTTGAGATTTTTATTTTCTTTAATTCATAAGGCAAAACATTAAATAAAAATAAATAAAGGAGGGAGAGAGAGACAATGGGAAAAACGAAAAGAAAATGCATTTTTTATATTTTCATTTAACATTCGATTTTTTATAAATATAAATAAAAAAAACATTAAATAAATGTATCCCATCCAAATTTATAAATGGGGGTTTTATTTGGCCTCAATAAAACAATTATTTTATTCATTTTTTTTATTTTATATAACATTAATTCCTGATTTTTTATTTCAAAATATAATAAACAAGTGAAAATAAAAATAAAAGGAAAAAACAAGAAAATTAAAATTAAAAATTACAAAATTTTTTTTTTATATATAATGCAAAATAAAAAAAATCTTAAAGATATTCTAAAGGAGCATTTTTTAATCGATTCTTCTGAAAATTTAGCGACGTGCAGCATGTGTGACAAAAAGATGAAGTCAATACCATGTAAAATAAATTATTTAATGTATTTTTCAATATATTTTTCTAGCAAATCTTAAAAGACACATAACCTCTCAACACCCAAACATAATGAAAGCAGATGAATCTAATAGTGATTCGTCCTTCAATGCTAGAAATACAGCAAAAGAAAAATTCCCAAAAATTAAGATCGATAAATCTAAAGTAATTAATATTTAAATAAAGAATAAATAATTATTTTTTAGGTTTTTGAATGTATAGTATGGTTGATTACAGTCCATAATTTACCCATAAATTTAGTAAATTATGAGGGTTTCCGTATTTTACTAGACCCTATATGTCATTCTCTTCAAATGAAAATAAATACTCGGTCAGTGGTCGACAAAATAAAATATACCGCATCCGAAATTAGACTTCAAATTATACATGAATTAAAAAACAAGCTCATTTCTTTAAAAATTGATACTGCTACTAGATATAATAAATCAATATTAGGTATTAATGTTCAGTATATAAAAGATGGCCAGATACAAGTACGAACACTAGGAATGATAGAACTAATAAAAATTCATACAGGTATAAACCTAAAAGAAGAAATCCAAACAATTTTAAAAAAATACCAGATAGATTTAAAACAAATATATAGCATTACTGTGGATAACGGCGCCAATATGCTTAAAATGGTTGACACTATGGCTAGAGATCAATTAAATAATGATAATGATCTATCTAATTCTAATGAAAACAATTTAAGCCAGATATTATTTAATACAAGTGTAAGTTATCAGGAAAATGTATTTATTGATGATGAAAATGTCTCCGTTTATTCTGATGAAGAAACACCAGAGGGTATTGACGAGGAAAATATATCAGATGATATAAGCAAAAGCTTTGGCTTAAGTTGCATTAGATGTTCTGCACATACTATACAACTTGCTGTAAACATGTTTATCAAAAAATATTTAAAACTAGACTTAGAGAAAATTCGTATTATAATTAAATTGATAAAATCTCACAAATATAAAAGATTATTTATAATGGACAAAGTTTCGAAACCCACGCTAGATACTGTTACTAGGTGGAATAGTACTTATCTAATGATGAAAAATCTAATGGATAATAAAACCTTTTATACTAAAATGGGTGAATTATACCCAGAAACTTTTATTAGTTTCGATTTATGGGATATTATCCTATTAGGTACATCAGTCCTTTTCCCATTATACAAATTCACAATGAAATTACAAAAAAGTAATATTGTAATAGGTGATTTTTTTGCTTCACGGCTAGAATGCAAAATGGAGCTGGAGGAAATGGATAATAATTTATCTAAAAGTATGTTGGAATGTTTAAACATTAGAGAAAGCTATCTTTTTCAAAATGACGCATTTCGTAGTGCGATATATATGGATCCTAGATTCCATTATGAAAATGGAAAATATCCTTTGGAAGAAGATAAAATATTGGCCAGGGTAAATTAATAAATTTATAATACACATCTTTTTATTTTAGGAACATATATTTGCAACTTGGAAACAATTGCAAGCTATTGACCCTCATGAAGAAAATACAACTCTAGTTATGCCTTCCACTAGTGATTATAAAAAAACAAAACTTGACCTTTACATTGAGCGTGATTGCAAGTAGGGACCTATATTTTATGAATTATGTAATAGCGATATCAAGCTAAAAATAAAATCGTTATTATACAACAAAAGATTGCCATCCTCACAAGATATTTTGCAATATTGGGTTTCAAGAAAACACCAAGATGCAGAATTATTTAAATTATCTCAAATAATTCTTGCTGCTCCTTGCACCCAGGTCTCAGTTGAGAGAGCATTTAGTGCATTGGCACTAACTGTAACCTCTCTAAGGACAAGATTAGACAAAGATATACTTGATGATATTTTAATTATAAAGCTTAATCGTACATTGTTAAATAATGTGATATTTTAAATAATTATTTATATAACCTATTTCATTATAAAGTTATTGTTTACATTGAAATTTTAATAAATAAAAATTCATATATTTGACTGATTTAGATTTTTTGTATGAATAGTATAATCAGAGGGGGGCGTATTTTACTAGATATATCCAAATAGTAGTTTCTAAGATCTAAAATTGATTTAAAAGATTAAAGAAAAAATATTTTTAAATTTGTTGTTCCCAAAAATATCATGTTTATATTGATGCATCTTTCTAGTTCAACTCCGTTCCGGTTGGCTCTAAAAATTTAACATATATGATACTATTATCATCTGCCCAGAGGTTTAAGTGTTTCCCAACAAGATCATATTAACCTAATTTAAAAATAATGGATATGACTATGAGTAATGTGATAATTTCAAAATATATATATTAAAATAATTTCAAAAGGGAGTTGAGAATTAGATATGTCACTTATCTATGGTACATATTCACTGAAATTTTAATTTAACATGTGTACAATTTATTATTTTACCCTTTAAGTTCAAAAAAATTAAATAAAAAATTAAAAATGATAATTGTCACTTTTCTATGGTAGATATCCACTGAAATTTTAATTTAACATGTTTACAATATATAATTTTACCCTTTTGCTTAAAAAAAATTCAAAAAAGATTAAAATAAACGTTTATGACAATTGTCACATTTCTATGGTACATCCTCATTTAAATTTTAATTTATCATGTTTATAATTTATTATTTTACCCTTTTGCTTCAAAAAAATTCCAAAAAGATTAAAAATGGCCATTATGACAATTGTCACTTATCTATGGTACATCCACATTTAAATTTAACAAGTTTACAATTTATTATTTTACCCTGTAAGTTCAAAAAAATTTAAAAATGACGATTAAGACAATTTTACTTTTCTATGGTAGATCTTCAGTGAAATTTTAATTTAATAAGTTTACAATATATAATTTCTTCAAAAAAAATCAAAAAAGATTAAAAATAACGATTATGACAATTGTCACTTTTCTATGGTACATATTCACTGAAATTTTAATTTAACAGGTTTACAATATATATTTTTACCTATTTGCTTTAAAAAAATTCAAAAAAGTTCAAAGATAACAATTATGATAATTGTCACATTTCTATGGTACATCTTCACTGAAATTTTTATTTAACATGTTTACAATATATAATTTTACCCTTTTGCTTCAAAAAAATTCAAAAAAGATTATAAATAACGATTATGACAATTGTCACTTTTCTATGGTACATCCACATTTAAATTTCAATTTAACATGTTTACAATTTATTATTTTACTCTGTTGCTTCAAAAAAATTCAAAAAAGTTCAAAAATAACGATTATGACAATTGTCACTGCTCTATGGTACATCCACATTTAATTTTATATTTAATAAATTTTTATCTACTTGCTTTAAAAAAGTTCAAAAATAACGATTGTGACAATTTTTACAATCATTAAAACCATCTCGAAACATGCTCAAAAAATTTTTTCTCGCCTATTTAATACCTAAAAATAAAATTATTTTTATAGGTTCTGTTATGAATATTATGACAATTGTCACTTTTATAGTTTACACATTATATTAATTCATGTTTGAAATAATCATTTTTCTCTATTTCCAATTAAAACATATGTGAAATAAGTATTATGACAATTGTCACCTTTATATGCTTTACAATCACTGAAACCATCTCAAAACATGCTCAACTAGCCTTTTTTAATTATAATTATTTTTAAAGGTTCTGAGATGAGTATTATGACAATTGTCACTTTTATAGTTTACATTAAATATAAAACATTAAAATTATGACATTACATTTTTAAAATAATCATTATTACTTATTCCAAATATTAAAAAAAATGCAGTCGGTATTATGACCAATTCTCACATTTACAACCTATTCAAAAAAAATATTTTCATTAACATAATAAAATAAAAAAAAATATATATCAAAAATTTTATTTTTAAAGAATTTACCAAAAAATTTTAAGATCAAAATTTCAAAAATATTTTAATAAAGATTTCCTTGCAAAAGATTTTATTTTATTATAAAATTCTCAAAATATTTTCTCAAAATTATAGAAGATTTTTTTACAAAAAATATTTTTTATTTTGCTCAAAAATCTTCTTTGAGCAAGCTCAAAATTTTTTTTAGCGAAAAAATCTTCGCAAAAAATTGATCTTCAAAGATTTTTTCCTCAAAATTTTGGGCGAAAAAAATCTTCAAATTTTTATTTGAAGATTTTTGTAAAACCCTGGTTCTTACTGCCTTTATTTAACAAGATATGGTTTAGTGGGATGATGCCGGCGGATTGGAATATGACTATCTTCCCGAAAATTCCAAATCCATCTAAATTCAAGGATTATAGAGCCATCGCTCTCACGTCTATTGCATAAAAAGTTTTATGGTTCTTTTAAAAAACCGCATTCTTTCCTCTACACCAAACCTTTTGTCTAAATATATTTGTGCTTACCGTCCAAGTAGAAATATAAACGAACCAATATTAGCTTTAAAGATTATAATGCAGAAATGTGAGAAGTATAAATTACCTTTTTACTTTATTTTAATCTACTTTAAACGTGCTTTTGATAATGTTAACCATGATGCGCTATGGAAGATTTTAACCGAATGTCGCATTGACTATAATATTATAAGGATCCTTAAAATACATTACAATAGTCTTTTTGCCTCCTTAAAAATCAATAATAAGGTTTCTCCATCTTTTAGGACAAAGAAAGGTAAAACAAGGGTGTGTTCTTTCCCCGCTATTGTTTAATATACTCATGAATAAAATCATAGTAGATACGCTGGCTACTGCGAATCTCTTAGAATTAAGGTCCAGTCAGTCGTGCTTCTTGGAAAATAGGGTAATATGTTATGCTGATGACATAGTATTGATAACAAAAAGTTTGGAAGATACCCAAAATTTGATCTTTATATTGAACTCCTTTAGTATTAAGGTTGGCTTGGATATAAACTTTGATAAAACAGTGATAATGCCCTCGTCTCAGGGGCCTCTTCTGAATAATTTGGTGGTTGGGGGAAAGTTGGTTAAGGTGGTGAAATCCTTTAAATATCTAGGTGCAACCATTGACAATAAAGGTCGTTGTAAAAAGGAACTAAAAATCCGTATACAAAATGCTAGGGCGGCTTTTTATTAATTTTTTAAACTGTGAAAAGCTAGAGAGATATCCGTTTTCACAAAACTCCGTATTTTCAACTCAACCATCATCCCAATTCTCTTTTATGGCGGTGATACATGGGAGATTACCAAGACCGAAACTAGGAAATTACAAACGTTTGTAAATAAATGTCTAAGAATAATAAATGGAATTTTCTACCCTAATATTATCTCGAATGAAAACCTTTGGACGATGTCTAACCATACCCAACTTCACGTGTCTTTAAAAAAGAAGCGTCTTACTTTCTTTGCCCATATTTTGAGAAACCATAGTAACAATAGCCTCGTTATTGATACCATTAATTGGTTATATTCCTTTAATGGGAAAACATATTGCAAATATAAGACATTATGGTTCTACAGAGCCTTGAAGGACATAATGGATATAAACTTAAATTTGAAACAGTTCCTAAGGCTAAATAAAAACAAAAAATCTATAAAGAAATTACTAAAAATTAAATCAAACTACCTAAATCTCCCATAATTTTTTTTATTATTTCTGGATTTCAGGTTATTTAATCTCTCCATTTCTCAATTTACCTCCTGACTTTGTCTTTCACCTTTTCTGTGAATTACTTGCTTCACTGACATTAGCTTTTATTTATCTTATTGACTTAATGTACTAATTTAAATCGGTCTGTCCCATACTTTTAATTACATACATTACATATACAATGTCTTAGGTGTTGTTGTACTTACTATACTTTCCCATTATATGAGTTAAGATATATTAATGGCATTTGAGAAATAGTTTGTGATTTGTGTTTCTTGTGTGGGCTAGAATTAATCTTCGGCTCTTTTTAATAGTTAGTTTTGGGTATGTTTTGTATTTTTCCATAGTTTTTGAGTTCGAAATGTTTATGGGGTAAAAGATATCTTTTGTTTATGAGACATTTATTTGTTTATAGTCATCTATTTCTATTTATTTTATTTTTTTTCTTCCCCAATTTTTTTTTGGTCTCTCTAACATGTCCGTCCCCTCCATAGAATAATATAGGAATTGTGGGTGTGCCCTCAGTCTAGAAAATACCGATTTCTCTCTTATCTTCCATACTTTTTATATACGTTTAAAAGTTTCCACTCGCCTTTGTATTCTTATTTTTCTTCTTCTTTGCATCTACTTTTATTATTAAGTTGTTCCCTAAGTACATTGCGACTACATTTACCTCGTTCTTACTATAAGTTTTAGAAGTGGTTACATGTTTTCTTGGGAAAAATAAGGAGGAAAACTGTTTTTTTATTCATTTTATTATTTTTCTTTATTATTGCTAGTTAACTAGATTTAAAGTCTTTAACTTTTTTCTTTTTCAAAATATTACATCTTATTTGAGTTTACATATAATACATCGGTCGTTCCCATTGTTTCTCTTTTGTTTTTATTTTTATGTTTTTATTTAGGAGTGGCAAGAGTTTAGCCTTGTTTTACTCCTTTTTTACCTTGGAGGTAGGGGATATTCTTCGTCATTGATTTCGAAGTATCCAAACATGTATTAGTGGTTTTCTGGATCTGGAAGATGTTGGGGTCTTCCCTTTTTCTGACAACGAAGCTGCATGGTTAACTTTATCAATAGCTCTGCTATAATTTACAAATGTGAAGTGTTTGTACTTACTTTTCTGCATGATTATTTTTCTGAACTAATTTTGGCTCCAGTATATTTTTTTTGGCCTGTATAGACTTATGTATTTTTTGGGGGAAAAGATTCGGTGTAGGTGATATGCTTGTGGTTTTTTGAGTGAACCAAAAATTTTTTTTTCCATACTACAGGATGTGATGGTTATAGCTCAGTAACCTTTTAATTTCTGTGGTCTTAGTTTTTTTGGTTAGTTACTTAGGTAGGATTTGTTCCA